GGGGGGATTAGGGAGCATTGTGTTTATAATCTCCTTGAGGTGAGTGGGGAGTTAGGGTACATCCTATTTATAATCTCCTTTAGATGAGTGAAGGTGAGTGGAGGGGGGCTTAGGATCATCATCATCATCCAGTGCCAGATCTTACACAGACATCGACGAACAAGGTTCTCCATTCATTCCTTTGCTCGGAGGCTCTAAAAAAAGCTACGTTTCCCTGACCTTTCCCTGTTGCCCATTTGTTTAGGTTCCCTAAGTATGTTGTTCTGGTCCTACCCCTGTCTGGTTTGCCTTCAATTTTGTCGGTGAGAGCTAGATGTTCAAGACCCTTATGTCTATTCATGTGTCCCAAAAACTGCATTAATTGTCGTTTCCTGGTTATTGAGCGTCCCACGTGGGCTTCATCAAGCACTACCTCATTTAATTTCTTTTCCTTCCACGATACTCTTTGCAGTCTCCTAAGAAACCACATTTCCGTTGCTTCTATTTTATTTTATTTGTCTTTGGTGATTGTCCAGCATTCACAGCCATATAGAAGGATTGACCATACATAGCATTTCAGAACTTTCATATTGGTGTTCATTGAGATATTTCGATTTTTCAGGATTGGGCTCATATTATTGAAACCAGCATTAGCCATTGTAATTCTCTGTTTTATTTCTGTGGAACATTTTGCATCAGATGTTATCATATATCCCAGATAGTTAAACTGTAGGACTTGTTTGATCTTTTCACCTTTGCTAATTAGATTACAACTAGGACTAGCTGCTTTTTTGGATATTACACCATGCATTCTGTTTTCTTTACATTTAACACTAATCCTTTACGTTCACTTTCTGTTACAACAGTATCTAGAAGCAATAGAAAGGTCCTTTTCTGAGCCTGCAATAAAAATAGCCGGATGTTATTAATGTTTTCTCCATTTACTTTGAGGCCTGGACATTCTTCTATGTTTTTAGAGATTGTTTCACTGTACATGTTAAAGAGGTCTGGTGACATAACACATCCTTGCCTCACTCCTCGCCTATTCTGCTTTTATTCACTGTATTCTCCATCTGTTTGTATAGCAGCTTTTCGGGTCCCAGTACATTCTGCTTATAATCTCCTTTGAACGAGT